CTATCAAACTAGCAAACATCTTGTTGATTAGGCGTTGGTATGTGGCCCCGGCATTCTTCAACCCGAACGGCATCATGGTGTAACAGTAGAGTCCACGTGCCGAGTAGAAAGAGGTGTGCTCGGCGTCATCCGGGTGCATCGGGATCTGGTTGTAGCCGGAATATGCGTCCATGAAGCTCATCAGTTCATGCCCCGAGGTGGCGTCCACCATATAATCAATATGAGGCAAGGGGTAGCTGTCTTTGGGGCACGCCTTGTTGAGGTCGGAGAAGTCGATGCAAAGGCGCCATCCCCTGCTGGCCTTCTTTACCAGTACCGGGTTGGCAACCCAGGTTGGGTACCGGACTTCCCGAATATAGTCATTGTCCTTGAGCTTGATCACTTCTTCTTCGAGAGCTTGCTGCCGGTCTGGCCCCAGCTTCCTTCTCTTTTGAACGACCTGCCTGACTGTAGGGTCGACCTGCAACCTATGACAGGCGACCTTCGGGTCAATGCCGACCATGTCTTCGTGGATCCACGCGAATACGTCTGCGTTTTCTCGAAGGAAACTGGTTAGCTCGGCTTTTAATGGTGCTGGCAGTTTACTGCCGATCCGAAGTTGTTTTTGACAAGTCTTCTCATCGATGAAGATGATCTCGACCTCGTCCATGGGCTCGGCCAATTTTGTGCCCCTCTTCTCTTCGTATTGGGTTCGGGGGTCGAGCTCGTCCTCCTCCAAGATCGGCTCCTTTCCAGCTCTTCGACCCCTGTCCTGGTCCAGGTCGGACTCGGTCCCCTTCTCCTGCTCGGCACTCGTCCCAGCCTGGGGGAGCGGACCTATTTGGATTTCCAGCATGCGGTCGTCTCTCGGGCCGGGGTGAACCACCTCGGTATCTGGGTCCATATGACCCCCCTCGACATCTGTTTCTCCTTCCACCTCGGCGTCTTCGACGATCTGGCCGGCACTCGTCGTTACCAGGCAGGGCGTGCCTATCTGGTTTCCCAGCCTGCGGTTGCCCTCTTCTCCGTGGGACACGGTTTCACTCGTCCTGGCTCCAGGGGCGGAGTTCGCTGTATTGATTTCCGCCCGAGGGATGGTCAGGACGCATTCCCGCGCTTCTCTCTGATCTCCTCGATGAGTCCCTTCCCCGTCTGAGGTCGGGAACTTGAGGGAATAATGGAAAATGGAGACAACCCCCCTCAGCTTGTAAAGACCCGTCCTGCCAAGGATGGCATTGTATTCACTTGGGCAGTCCACTATCTTGAAAGTTTCCAGTATCGTTCGTGTGGGCTGCCCCTTCTCCCCGAACCTGATCGGCAGCGTCACTTGACCGGCGGGGGTCGTCATTTGACCGTTAAACCCTTGGATCCGCTCTCGGCAAGGTTACACTTCCTTCCTGTCAATCCCCATCTTCTTGAACGTGTTGTAATACAGGATGCTCGCATAGGCCCCAGTGTCAACCATTATTCGGTGAATCTTGATCGCCATTATTGGGGCCGTGATCACCAGGGCGTCCGAGTGGGGATGGTCGAACAGAAAGGCATCCTCATCAGTGAAGGAGATTTTATTGGGCGTTGGCTCAGCCGCCGGTCTGCTTCCAGCGTGCATCACTCTCAGCCCGGCATAATAAGCTTGCCGGGCGTAGGCCTTTGTCTGCCTCCTCGAAAGGAGGGATTCACCTCGGCTTGTGTTTACGCGTCGGGGTGGGAAATCAGCCAGGCCGGTACTCGACTGCGGGGACCGATCTCTTTTTCTTCCTACGGAGGTGCCAGGCTCACCTTGATGGGTCGGGTTGAACATTAGGATCTCATTAGGCGCACCCTGCTGTGGTTTTTTCCTCCGGGGGTTCATGTCGGCATCTTCGTCACTGTCGAGGCCATCCCCGAAGCGGTCTCCCTTCTTTCTCTTCTCACCAGAGTGAGTGAACTTCTTGACTTGAGGGTCGTCAATCAGCTTGAGTAGCGCCGCGATCAAGTTACGGCATTGGTCTTTGTTATGTCCATGTGCTTTGTGGTAGGCGCAATATCGGGACTTGTCCACCTTGTCTTTGTCGGTGAACATGGGTTTCGGATCCGGCAGCAAGCCCTTTGTTTTGATCTCCTCGTAGACCGCGGTGGCACCCACGGAGAAGATGCCCTGGAAGCTTTCTTTGAGCTCCTCCGCGCTCTGCCTTCTCATGGCCCGCACCTCGGCAAATGACTTGCCGGGCTTCCCTGATTTGTCTTTATTCTTGTCCTTGCTCGAATTGGCGTCCAGCACCGGGATGGACGAGGATTCCTCGGCCATAATGTAATTTTGGGCCTTGGCGAGGAATTCCTGGTAGGTGGGTGGCTTGTTCTGGTACAGGGACCATTTAAACAGGGTTTTCGGCTTCAGCCCGGCCTGCACGGAGACGAGCAGGGTCTTGGGATGGCACTGTTCCATATTTTGAACTCAATCGTTAAACCGGGTGATATAGTCCTTCAAGCTTTCGTCCTCGCCCTAGACGATGTTGGCGATTGATTCCTTGGGGGCCAGGTTGATTTGTGATCCGATGAAGTGTGATAGAAACGCCGACCTAAGCTCAACCCAAGTGCAGATAGAGTGCGGATATAAGGAATGGTACCACCTCTGCGCCTTCGGTCCTAGGGTCAGGAAAAACATGCGACAGCGTAAGGCGTCCGTCGCACCGTGCAAATCCATCCAGGAAGTGTAAAGGCCGATGTGGGAGTCGGGGTCCGAGTTCCCATCATAAAGTCCGGGCTGTGGCACCTTTATTTTCTGGGGCACGGGCTCGCGCAGGATGTCAGGAGAGAGGGGGGAGGCATGATCCACGACGCGAGGAATGGGTTGTGAATAATGGGGAGGCAATGTGCCTCCCTGGGGGGGAGTGCCGACCTTCCAGTTCGGCGATTCTGCGCTTGAGGGCCGCGACTTCGTCCGCGTAGCGTCCAATGTTTTTTCCTCGCTCAATCACGTCCCTGAGGTCGCGGTTGGCCTGAGTTTTGTCACCCAGGCGCTGGTACACAGAGTGACGTATGACCTGGAGGCTCCGGTCTGGCTGGCTTTCGCCAATATGCTCGGTGGGTGCCGACCTTGCGCTTTTCTCGCGCCGGGCTTGGGCGGCGCGATTGGGTGATTGAGCCGTCGTTTTGGATTTGGCGGGTTTTTTCTGCTGCCCCCCGGCCTCCTTGTCTGGGGTTTGGAGCAGGGTGTTGACGGGGTTATCCGTGGCCGCCACGGTATTTCCCCCAGGTACCTGGCTTGCAAGAGCCTTGGCGAAGACTCCTTCCAAGACTTTGAGGACGTCGGGATGCTGCATGGCGGTAGCAAAAGTCGGGACAGGAGGGATGGGAGCCTGGGTCCCTTGCTGGTTGCGGCGAGAGGTTTCTTCGCCGTTGCGTCGGCGAGGCTGAGCGTCGGATTGCTGGGTTGACTCGTTGTGGCTGGATGAAGTCATCTTGAACGGGATTCAAGGTGAACGAAGGTGAGTGAATATGGGGCTTCACAAGGTCGAATAATTGACACCAAGTAACTTATGGTGCCCTTTCTCTAGCGCCAAACTGTTGACGAGCGTTTTCGGTCAACAGTTAAAATGTAAAATATCGAAAATGAAAGATTGACAATGAAAGGGAGACTAGGTTTAATTATGGTTTTGTTAGGCGATCACGAGGTCGGCCTCTCGTACGAGGTCAACACTTGCGATATACTTACAATTCTTACAATGAGTTTCTTACAGTTTTAGAGAGGGAAAGTAGAGAGAAGGCAGAGTTAGTTGAATTTCAACAACCCAAAATAAATGAAATGAGCTGCTATTTATAGTAATCTTTAATGTGGCACTGTCCAGCTACTGTTCACCGGTCTTGTCGCACAGTGGCCTTGAAGAGCAGTCTGGCGTCCCTCTGACATGTATTTCATGCGATTTGAGGTTTCTTCAATCATTACCTGTCAGGCGTTAAATGCCAGCATGGGGGGCATTTAATGCTGGTAGACTTTATTGATTAAGCTTGCTGGTTGGGTGCTAGTCTATGATTACCTGTCCCATCGTCCAATGATGGCCTTCCAAGTGGGAATATTTTAATGCTCATCGAAACCTGTACTTTCCCTCTGGTCGGCCTTCTCAGATTTTCAGGTCGGCATTTCACTCGAAAGTGTTCGTGAGACTGCGAATAGTCTTCTTTCTGTCCGGCACCCATCCAGGTCGGCTTTGTCCTGACTGAGCCAGGTGCCGGACTGGGGGAACGTTCCTACGGCAGTTCTGCACATCTTTAATCTTCGATTCAGCTCGGCACCTCTTTACCAGACCGGGTTTTCAGCTCGGGTCCTGAGAGGTCAAGTATTCGGTTCAGTCTGGGCTAACTCGGCTATCAACAATCTATTCGTCGTCAATGAAGCCCACACTTCGCCTACCTCAAACTCGACATGACTACGACGCGCATCCACATGCCTCTTGTACGAAGCATTAGCAACCTCTTACAATAGACGCAGGGGGTCAACATCATCACTTGACACCTTTCTCTAATTCTCTTTCTTCTTTTTCAATTGATAGATCATCTCAAAACCCCATGTAATATCCATCCCAATTCTACCTTCACAATTTTTTTCTACATTGCTCATATCCAGCATGGGGATGAAACCTGGAGCCTGAAACTTGTGCTACACCATCGCCCTCGACATCCTCACCAATTTGTTAACCACCATCCTCTCTGCTTTCCCAATGGGCAAAATTTCTCCATTTGAGCAGTGTGCTTCATGGTGTCGATAACCTCGTCCTAAAAAAAAGACGGACCCTCATATGTGGTCGAACCCTGATCATAAAAAAGAGGCTGACCCTCATATTCGGTCTACCTCTGGTCATCCTCAAGGGTGCTTCAAATTTAGGGAATTTCAATCCTAAAAGACGACTTCCATCGTCAGTCATCTGCGAGCCGCTCGTCGTCTTGCGCAGCGAACGTGCCGAACGAATTCACTTCGGAGATGGTGTCTTCTTGATCCTCGTCCCCAAAGTACAACGAAGGCCATCGAGATTAGAGCACCCGCGTTAACCCCACCCACGGCGCCCCCTGCCGCTCCCGCCATGTGCTCCGCCTGGCGCACGGTTCGTTCGGTAATCCCGGTTAGTGGTGTCCTGCCAAAAGTCCACCATCGCTGCGGTCAATGCTCCGACCTCGGAGCTTGATGCGGCGATCTCAACGTTGCTTCTGATATCTGTAGCGTCGCTCTGTCTCGGCGGCATGGCGTACGAACCGTACTCGTTTTTCTTAGTTCAATCAAATCTCCAAACAATAGAATAAGAGTATCAAATAAGACTCGTCAGAAACTTACTTATCATAAACCTAGGACTCCTAATAAATCCCAATTTACTATAAACCAAATAAAAAAAATTAAAATATTTAAATACCTCAAATAATAATAGAATAAAAGAAATAAATAATTAAACTAAAGATGCCGAACTTATGCTTGTCCACGAAAGCCGACGCAATTTCATTTCCATCAAACGTTTACTTTCCAGTTCATTAAAAATTTGATTAAAATTGTCAAACTGAATTAAAAGTCTTATTTAAAACCGCAGTTTGGCCATTATAAGATGACCACTGTGCGAATACAATTTTATTTTCTTCAAATAAATGGACGACCCAAATAAATGATAGTTACAAATGACATTCCCATAAGCAGCATCATAGGATGTCTCTATTTTTGCACTGCACAAAGAAAGCGAACAGACAGAGAGAAAACCGTGGAGGCCTACATTTTTTTCTTCACACAACACACAATTTCCTTACTTTGTAGATAATTCCCCTGCAAATCGGGCAACTCTTGCTTTCTTCCTTCACAATTCTGCTTACACAAAATATTTAAAAGACAAAACACATTTCTCACACTATCAGAAATCAATTTCCCACGCCATTTTTACTTAGTTCGTTCCGATTATTGCACGTGATAATTTAGGCTCGTTAACTTAACAATAACACATGTGACACATACTATACATAATATATCCCATAATAATAACAAGATCAATAATAATAATAATAATAATAGTAGTAGTAATAGTAACTAAAATCATTAACGTTACCTATGGGCGCACTTGTGGCAGGTAACACAATGACCGCATGGAATGAAGAAGCAGTTCCTTTGGTCGTCATAGCAAATGACACATATTTTGCCGTCGTACAGATCCTCGGATGAAGACGAACAACCGTTGTTGCTTCCCGATTCGCAGTGATCGTGATCACTATCGTTTGTGCCATAAATAGTAACCACAAACTCTTGACCTTTCGAAGGCAACAATGTGGTGCTCTCGGTTGGTCTCCGTGAAGCACTGCTTGCTTCGTCTCCATCCGAGATCCATAGGAGTTTCACGATCAATGCGATCATCATCAAGAATATCGCTGAGATATTTTATATTTTATACATGAGAAAAAGTGTAGTTAGCAAATAATAATACTAATAATTTTTCAACCCTATTTTTTGGAGTTTGAATTCGAACAACTATGTCACTACAAGAAAATGTCAAAATGCCAACAGAAATTATGACTGAAATAATTATGTTGGGAATAACCAACAGATCACCCAAATAATGCATTATTTAAACAATTTTTTTTATACAGATTACAAATAGAATACTATAAAAAATATTGCAACGAAAAAATATATCTTTGTATTCCATTGGCAAATAGCGAAAGAAAAATTCCGTTAGTAAACACCAACAAATTTACAAAGAAACTGCAACGGATTTGTTCATAATTGTATTAGCAACAGAAATATTTTGTCGGTAAACACCAACGATATTGTGGCAGATATGTTCATAATTGTATTAGCAATGAAAAACTTCATTGCTAAACCACAATAAATGAAATTATTTCAAAAGAAGCTTTAGGGCATTGATTGATGCGCTTTCGTAAGTTATTCCACTTTTAAAAATACTAATACAACACCCGTGTAATACACGGGTGCTTGTTAAAAATATATATTCGTAAATTTTAAAATTAATGAGAAAAATTTATTTTAAATTTTATTAACTTTTGTTACAGAAAATATATATTATTCTATATTTTAGAATGACAGTTGTTACTTTGTGCGACATACATGTGTTATATGACAATAATTTTTATAACTTATATCATATAACTACTTGAAATATAATTATATTAATTGATAAAAAATTTTATTTTTCTAATTAATATTAAAAAAATTATTATTGTTACATAGATAAATAGAATTTATTTATTTTATACATACAATATGGATGTTAAATCGAAACTCATCAAGAGATGCTTAACTTGATATATTATAAAAAATACAAAATTTATCAATTTTTAAAATACATTAACAATTGAATAGTTAAATAAAAAATAATATTAAAATGCAACTAATACATGTACACATGACTATAAATAATCAACATATTTATAGATAATCCGGACGTAATTATTTTTGGATTGGAGGTAATTAAAATATTGCCAAGCCTAAGCCTAATAACGAAGCATGTAATTTTGTCACATAGGATGTCAAAGCATGCGAGCCTGTTACTTAGGCTCAACACATTCAGAATTAATATATAAGGGGATTATGGGTGAATTGGTTGAATCTACTTAAGGGTGTGTTTGTTTATGATTTTTCTCAATTCATACTCAAGATGTAACTCAACTTTAACATAACTCCACTATTCACAATATTATCAATACAATTGAGTAATATTACTCAATCATTCTTATACATTACATCAACTTAATTCATTATTCATCCGCTCACAAAATTTTAACTAACAATTACTTCACGTCATCTTTTTCCTACTTTTATATCAATTCATTTTTAATTATTTTATTTTAATATAAATACAAAATCTCACTAACAACTAATCATACCACTTTTTATAATATTAGCCCTCGTTAACAGAAAAACTCGTTTTGATCGGATATACCTGTATCCAACTCAGCCCGCGTTCAGACTGCCCAAATATTTGTGTTTCATTTTATTTGTTTTTATAAATAAAACGTATTAATAATTTTTTTTTTTTAAAGAAAAAAATATATTATGTTGATCATTTGTAAAAGGATTTGTACCTAATTTACATTTAAATTTGAACAATGGAACTAAAAAAGTTGAAATACATTTAAATAAATTTGGACACAGAGAACATATTCTAGTAAGCCCACTGATTAAATAATGAAGACACAGATCTGATGCTGATATGTCGGGCTCTTTAAATTCTAAAATAATTAGCTTTCACCACTTGTAAATTTTTATTTTTTTTTTAGTAAAATTAATCAAATTATTAATTGAAAATAAAAGTAAAGAAACCATGTTCTTCCTCTTTCCCTAACCACAAACATGTGGATAACTTTCTAAATATTAATAAAAAAAATAAAAAACTATTTAATACATTAGTTATGAGCTGACAAAGACAAACTCTTTAACCACAAAATACCACTAGCGTATGAACTTAAAATTCTTTCATCATTTTATTAGCTGTTACATTACATAAGAAGAAGAAGATAATTAATATTGTCGTTTTATGAATAAAATCAAAAATCTTAGAGTGCTCAAGTTGAGTTCGAGCCCTTAACGAGCTGAGTTGTTAAATGAACGAGTCTGAAATCGAGCTCGGTTCGCCTCGTTAAGGCATCGAACGAGCCAGACTCGTTTAATTATTAATACTCTAATAAAAAAAATAATATAAATAAAAATATGTGATTTTATAAAATAAGAAAATATTTAAAATCTGTCAAAAAAATAAAAAATAAATTATGAAATTTTAAAATGCATGAACAAACATACATACCGAGGAAGGCAGCGCAGAAGGCATAACGCATCACGAAATCAACCTCAATGTGGGCTTCACCCAAATTATTATTATCCTTCTGCATCCAAAAAATTTCATAATAATTAAGTTAATTAATTAAATTATGTCTACTTAATTAACTACTACTACTACTAATAATATTATTTAATTGAGAATTTTTTTTTTTTATTATTATTAAATTTAACTTGGAAGTTACTATTACAGATAAGGGACTGGTGTTAATTTCTCACATTCCGAAATTCGATGGCGACGGCAAATCGGTTGAATTCAGGGAGATTCTTCGCGGTCGTCAAAATCATTATTAACAATCTGGTCCACAATTTTTCAACACTCTTCCGATTTGGTCCTCCTTATTTATCACCTGCTAAAATTAATTAATTAATTCCTTAATAAACACAAACACATCAAAAAAAATGTACGAAAAAAAAAAATAAATTAATTTACATTAATTACCTCATAAGAGCCTCTGTCTTTGATGATTTTTGTTTTTTTTTTTGTTTTGTTTTAAAGATGGTAATTAATAAATAATATCATAGAAAAATTCCAAATCTGGTAAAAAATCTTCGGCCAAATGAGTAGGCAAAGAGCTTCGGCGGCATTGGAGTACTTTCCGAGGTACGATGATGAACAGAGAAGAAGAAGAAGAAGAAAAAGAAGCTTAATTTCATTAAAAAAATGAAATCGATGATGTTTCGTATTGTATTTGTCGGCGGGTATAAATTTTCATGGGAATGATAAAATGGTGAGGCAAAGTGATGGGGTCTATTTATGTTGAAGGGAGCAGGCAAAGGGATTAATTATTAATTAGTACGGGATGTATACCGTGCGATACACGAGACAAAAATATTAAATGAGTTATTTTATTATTATTATTATTTTTTTTTTTTTTTGAATTATAATTTGTAGGGAATTTGAAAGGACGGGGTCT